CCTGGGATGCTCCTTGCTTTCCCCCCCCTCCCCCACCCTCCCCCCACTCCTCCTCCTCCTGGGGATATTCAACAGCAAAGGCTGCACTACTCCCAACTTCAGCCGAACTTTTTGTAAAAAGAAACTTGAGGATGCTCGGTCGTTCAGCTTTAAATACCATACCCAGCCCCCATTGGCTACTCTGCCTGGCTTTGGTCGCCCCCCGCCCAAGGAGCTCTGCAGCGATTGGACAGCTCTCCATGAGTGGGCAGGGCTTAGGCGTTAGACTCCACCCAGAGGCAGGGACCTCTTCATTAGCCGGAAGTGTGGAGTGTGTTGAGCGAGTTGTGTGTCCTGCACTGGAGGCATGCTGAGGCTTCCACTTGTAAAGATGAGGAACCTGCTCAAAGATCTGTCAGAATCAGGGTAAAGGCCTGTAGATGCTGGACGTCCCTAACCAGCACACAGAAACTCAGCAGGTCACGCAGCATCTGTGGAGAGAGAATCAGAGTTAACGTTTCCTGTCCAGTCTGACTCTTCTTCAGTTCTGAAGAACTTAAGAAGCTTTAGAGTGATACAGCACGGACACAGATCCTTCAGTGCAACCAGTCCATGTTGAATATAATCCCAAACTAAACTAGTCCCACCTGCCTGCTCCTGGCCCATATCCCTCCAAACCTTTCCTATTCATGGACTTATCCAAATGTCTTTTAAATGTTGTAACTGTACCCCCATCCACTGCTTCCTCAGGAAGTTAATTCCACATTTGAACCACTCTGTGTGAGAAAAAGTGCCCCTCATGTATTTTTTTAAATCTCTCTCCTCTCAGATTAAAAAATATGCCCCCTAGTCTTGAGATCCCCCATCCTAGGGAAAAGACAACTACATGTCACATTCAGAAGATAGAAGGTATCTTTGCAAAAATTAAATAATGTTCCTTGCAGACACCTGGACCAGATGGAAGTGTATCTACCACTTCCTCTGGCATTCATTTCACATATGAACCTCCCTCTGTGTGAATAAGTTGCTCCTCAGGTCCCTTTTAAATCATTCTCCTCTCACCTTAAAATTATGCCCTCTAGTTTTGAGCTCCCCAATCCTGGAGGAGGGGGGTGGGGGCACCTTACCTATGGCCCTCATGATTTTATAAACCTCTATAGGGTTACCCCTCAACCTCCTATGCTCCTGTGAAAAAAGTCCCAGCTATCCAACTTCCCCCTATAACTCAAACCCTCTGTTCCCGGTAACATCCTTGTAAATAAAAACTGAAAGAACTGCGGATACTGTAAATCAGGAACAAAAACAGAAGTTGTTGGAAAAGCTCAGCAGGTCTGGCAGCATCTGTGAAGAAAAAATTCAGAGTTAACGTGTCAGGTCCGGTGACCCTTCCTCAAAACTGGTTTCTTCACAGATGCTGCCAGACCTGCTGAGCTTTTCCAGCAACTTCTGTTTTACATCCTTGTAAACTTTTGCTGCACTCTCTCCAATTTAATAATATCCTTCCTATAGCAGTGTAACCAGAACACTACACAGTATTCCAAATGTGGCCTCGCCAATGTCCTGTACAACTGCAACATGACATCCCAACTCCTTAACTCAATGGTCTGAGTAATGAAGGCATATGTTCCAAACACCCAAGTGATAGTGACAGAGAGATGAAGATTGGTTTTGACACGTTGGAGAACCCCCTTTCTCTGCTTCAGAATAGCACAGTGGGATTTCTTTCATCTCCTCCTCAGAAGGTAGACAGGGTCTTAGTTTAACACCTCACCCGAAAGACAGCACAGCACTCCCTCTGTTGGGCACAATTATAACATGTAAAAGACATTTGGACAGGTACATGAACAGGAAAGGTACAGAACGATATAAGCCAAGCACAGGCAAATGGGACTAATTTAGTTTGGGAAACTTGGTCAGCATGGATCAGTTGGACTGAAGGGTCTATTGTATGACTCTATGGTTGTTATGCTGCAGTTTGTGGGATCTTGCTGTGTGCAAAGTGGCTGCTGTGTTTCCAACAGAGCACAAATGGCATCACTTCCAAAGTGTTGCGCTGGCTTTAAAACACTTTGGGATGACTTGAGGCCATGGCAGTTGCCATTGAAATGCAATTGTTATGCACCGTTCAGAAACCACAACAACACAGGCCTGAACTAGAGTGGGACTGGGGGAGTGATGGAGTACATGACTGGAATCTGGACATTCTTCTCTGTTAACATTTGGATGGCAAACTATTCCTCCGATGTCTTCATGTAAACACCCAATTTCATACTCACCATTTACAATTGGCAACTGACAACCGCCAGACACCAGGACAGAGAGCTTTATTCTGTATCTAACCCCATGCTGTCCCTGTCCTGGGAGTGTTAGATGGGGACAGTGTAGAGGGAGCTTTACTCTGTATCTAACCCTGTGCTGTCCCTGTCCTGGGAGTGTTTGATGGGGACAGTGTAGAGGGAGCTTTACTCTGTATCTAACCCCATGCTTTCCCTGTCCTGGGAGTGTTTGATGGGGACAGTGTAGAAGGAGCTTTACTCTGTATCTAACCCCGTGCTGTCCCTGTCCTGGGAGTGTTTGATGGGGGACAGTGTAGAGGGAGCTTTACTCTGAATCTAACCCTGTGCTGTCCCTGTCCTGGGAGTGTTTGATGGGGACAGTGTAGAGGGAGCTTTACTCTGTATCTAACCCTGTGCTGTCCCTGTCTTGGGAGTGTTTGATGGGAACAATGTAGAGAGAGCTTTGCTCTGTATCAAACCCTGTTCTGTCCCTGTCCTAGGAGTGTTTGATTGGGGGACAATGTAGAGGGAGCTTTGC